TCCCCCCCTTAGACGAGGACATCGATCAGGCGGCCACACAGGTGTACGGTTACCTCAACGGCAAGATCAAGGCCCCGTTCCCTTTGAGCGACAACAACGCCTGCCACAACATGCAGTGCCCCATCAAGGCCGGGGACTCCATCACCTACAAGAACGCTCTCTTTGTGGAGCCCTTGTACCCTACGGTAATCACTGGACCCTTTTGCTTTAGTTTTCGTGGGAGTGTTATTTATACGGGGTGCCCGCTACGGCTGGATCGGGCCGATCACCCGACTCGCTCGCCTCAAACTGAAAACAAGCACGTTTGTTTTGGTGCCCACTACGGATGGGAGCCGATCGCCCGACTCGATCGCCTCAAAAACAAACGTGATTGTTTTCAGTTTCAGGCGGTGTTTGTGTTCAGTTTCAGGCGATCGAGTCGGGCGATCGGCCCGTTCCAGACGTAGTGGGCACCTGTATAAGGCGACCGAGTCCGACGATCAGCCGGACCCGCCAATCCCATCCGTAATGGGCCCCCCGTATTACCAAAGATCGTGCAGTAGAGAATCTTTGTAACGACTGCTCAGTGTAGGACCCCGTCATGCGTCACTCTTCAAAATGGCGTATGGCGGAGTCTTGCAAGCGGTGCCCATTAATTGTCATCATCGGTTTGGTTCGGTTCAGTTTGGTCGGTTTTGTCGGTTTGGGGCAAGCGAGATCGAGCTCCATTGGATGATGACTTTCAATAGACTGACGCGTTTGTATCGAAGGTGCACGTCGGGCGATCGGGTTGGGCAGTTGGTCTATTTTTAGTGTGTATTGAAGCAGAGAAACCGAACCAAACAGAACTGATCCTCCAGTAGGCACTGGCACCGCCTATTCCACGAAGCTGTCCATATTATGTGCTAAAGGTTAGAAATTTTACTAAAGAGTAACATACAGAGAAATGGAGGAAAGATATGGAGGTTGGATGTTTGACAGGAAAGGAAGAGCAAACCACTCAAGATAACCCGCAAACACCCCACACACTGGAAGAGGAAGATTACTATTATTTGTGTAGGGGTTGATATCCCTCCCCCTTGCCGCCAATCGCACCTGGTTCTTTCTTACCACGACCCATCTCGTATAATTCTTCTATGTATGCACCTCCCCCCGCCCACCTTTCTCTCCCTCTCTCTGTGTATCTGTGTAATTGTATGTCTTTTTATCTGTCTGTCTATCTCTGTCTGCCTGTCTGTCTGTTTCTCTCTTTTGGTTACCCCCCCTCCAAAAAAAAAAAAAACAACAATGGAAAATGATAAAAAGAGCTAGGGCACCCCGCCAAGAGGTGTATCGTCTCTCATTGTAGAAAAAAATTATGTTTATTTTTTCTCGTGTCATGCATATTATTTAGCTCTTACTCATGCATAAATCACCCCCACCCTTTCTCCCCTCTACCTCCACTTCTCTCCTTTCCAATATGCTATGTCATGTAGGCTGTTGGACTCACACAATATCAAATATC